AGCTTGGTGCGCAGGAGGCTGTTCTCCGAGAACTTGAGCACTTGGTGCAGGTGTTTTTTCAGTTCTTGGATCACGAAGTTCTCCTTCTCCACCTGGGGGCAGGAGAGGGGGTGGCTCTGGGAGTCCTGTCACCAGGTCATGACGAGGCTCCTGCGTGCCTCCTGCTCCTTCACTTCTTGCCCTTGCCCTTCTTGCCCTTGCCCTTGCCCCGCTTCTTCTTCTTGGACTTGAGCATGGAGCGGACCAGGTAGCCCTTCCACACGGCCTGGATGAGCGTGGCCGCGCGCACCATGAGGACCATCTGCTCCTCGGCCTCCATCCTCTTCCGGGACGTGACCTCGCGCTCCGTGCGGATCTGGTTGAATTCCTCCACCAGCACGTCATGCTTCTGCCGCAGCTCCTGCACCTGCTGTTGCTCCTCCGTGTGGATGCCGTCCAGCTCCTCCAGTTCCGTCTGCGGGGGGACGCCAGCCTGCACCCGCCGCCGCCGGCCCGGCCACCCAGCCTGCCCACCCCGCCTGCAGGCCGGAAGAACTCCAGGGCCGGGGTGAAAGCCCAGCTCGTGAATTGGGCCGCTGAATTTCAAGCCACAACACAGGACAGCTCCCCGCCCGCCCAGTGATGCTTTGAGGCTACAGTGTGCTGGGGGTGGCCGTGGGGGTGGGGACAAAACACAGAGGCTGCCGCTGCCACAGAGACACCCAGGGCAGGGGGGCTTCCAGAACCTCCTCAGATGGCTGAGCCCCAAAGTTCTTAAGTCTAACTGCAGCCTCTCTGATGGTACTTTACACCTGGCCCTCCTTCCTTCCCTCCCCCATAGCTCTCTTCCCTGCCCCTTTCTAGATGTTCTGCCTTTCTCCCCCCACCCCCCCACCTTTTCCCCTCCCATCTGCCCCCTCCCCTCTGTGTTTCCTTTCTCCCTTTCTCCCACCAGCATTTACTAAGCCCCTGTCACAGGGAAGCGGAGGCCAGAGAACCCAGGACTGCGTGGACAGTCCCCCAGCCTGTCTCCAAAGCCTCCTTCCCC